TGATTGTCGTTTTTGTCTTTTTTTTTGTACTATCTACTATCTTTTATTTTAATTTTTATTTTCTACTTGTCCTTTTTTCTTTTTCTTTTTTCTTTTTTTGACTTTTTTCCCCTCCCATCGGTGTGGGTAGGTATTGTTCAAGATTATTACTCCTACCAATACTCCTAAATAATAATTACAGTTAAATGAAAATGGATATATAATAATGCTTGAGTTAATATGAGTTATGTTGGTTGACTGTGGAGGAGATGTACCAAAACATATCTGTAATTGATTGATATATTAAGAAAGATGCTGTACCCGTTTCAAACTAAAATTAAAAATATTTAATAAAAAATAAAAAATAAAAAAAAATAGTTGAAATATTTTCTCCTTGGATTCGTATTGATGAAAAGAAAGGATTGATTCAAAAGCATAAGACAATGTGTAGGATGTCCTGCTTGAGCAGGGGGTTGGACTAGAAGACCTCCAAGGTCCCTTCCTGTTCTATTCTGACTGATCTATGATATACAACTCCCATGTTGCCCACCTGAACACCCAATGTGGAGAGCATTAAGCTAGGGAAGACTATGGAAGGCTGAGTGGCCATCAACCTTCTAGAAATTAAGTCTAATGAGGAGATTGAGATATCCAATTCCTTTATGGTCCTGTTAATACTTCGGATCAGTGTTTTTTAAACTTTAAAATGAGTGGACTTCAACTCCCAGAATTCTCTAGTCTGCGTGTTCTGGAGAAGTCCATACATCTGAATATTGTCAAGTTTGAAAAACAACAGTCATTCGTTTTATATCAGTTTATCATCGATCCAAACAAGTGTTAACAAACCTTTTCAGCACCGAGTCCCAATAGTGGAGTGTGCACAGATGGACATGCACATGCCGGAGACTGGAAGAGCCACTGCCCGGTGTGCATGCACGAGCCAGGAAGATAATCTTTTGATTTCCAGCACATACATGCAAGCTGGCCACATGGTCTTCTGCATGCATGCACACGTGAACACCAGCTGGCTGTTGCATGTGCACCCACCGAAAACCGGAAGATCATCTTCCCAGCTCGCGCATAGGCACCGGGCAGCTGCTTTTCCAGTGTCCAGTGCTCCAGCGCACGTGAAGACCAGCCGGCCAACACGCCGGAATCCAGA